ATGAGGCAGGGGGGGGGGGGGGGCAGACCCTGCACAGGGGTGGCTGGGGAATGGTCTGGGAATGGTTATGGCAGCTCCAGTGTTGGAGAGACCAAAGCCAGGGGATACCCAGGAGGTGCCAGTCCCGGGGCAGCAGCCCTGCCTGGGCTCACACCCCCACCTGCCCCACGGCTCCCAGCTCAGTGCCTCTGTTTGCTCAGCGAGGAGGTCTGGATTTTCCCCACAATTTGAGCCCTTGATACAGCTAAGAAAACAGATCCGTGTTTGACTAATCCCGGTGACCTCTGCCGAGCCCCCGGGCTGCCCTGCCTGCGCAGCTGACGGCGAGACAAGTCGCTTATTTAATCTTTAGCTCCCAGCACTCTCTGGGAAGCCCAAAGCATCTTTATCCCATGTCACCAGGTCTCTGGAGGAGCTGGGCCCTGAGGTAGGTGGGGGAGCAGGCTCCCACCAGCACACTCACACCCCAAAGGCAGGCAGGGCAGCCCCCGAGGGGGGTCTAAAGGGGGTAGGGCTTGCAGCTGGCACCCCCCAGAGGGTCCCATCACCACCTACCAGATCCCTGGTGCTCACCTGAGTCTGACTTCTTGGCATACTTCTTGCTCTGCCCACGGATGATGAGCACAAAGACGAGCAGGAGAATGAAGATGAGCCCCACCAGGGCGATGACCACCAGGAACCACCACTCCTCGTAGAACGGGTTAGCTTTCTGGGCTGGGGCACAGCAGGGAGGATCAGAGGGGATGGGCATGGAGGCAAAGGGCTACAGATGGGGAGACCCCACTGCAAAGCATGGGGTCACCTTGGGGAACTTGGTGAGACCTGGACCCACGTGAAGGAGTGGATTAGAGGGGGGTAGCAGAAGGCTCTGCAAGGGCAGTGCTGGCAGATGCTGCTGGCAGCAGGATCTGGGGCTCTGTAGGAGCCAGGCAGTCAGTGAGACAGGTTTCAGTGACAGCTATGAGAACAGAGCTGGGACTCTTCCTCCAGCACAGGAGCAGAGCATCCCCCTGAGGACACCCACATGCTGTCCCTGCCAGCTACCTGACACAGAGGAGGAAGGTGTGCTGGGGGTCCCGTAGCCGTAGTCATTCACAGCGATGACACGGAAGTCATAGCTGACCCCCTGCTTGAGGATGTCCATGCTGAAGGTGTAGGAGGTCACTTCCTTGGGGATGTCTTTGATGAGGATGTCCCAAAGCCCCTCGTCTGGAAGAGATAAGGGGCCTGGAAGGGAGGGGAACTGGTTTCTCAGGGCACCCCGGGGGGAGAAGCTGATGTCCCTCCATCCAGGATCGTGTGCCCTCCACCATCTGCCCACACCTCCCAGCCCCCATGCACCAAGCTCACTGACTGCAGTATCATTAAAGAGCCACAGAGATGCACGTGGCTGATCAATCACCTGCCCTGCTCATGGCCAAGGGCAAGACCAGGAGTGTGGGGACCTGCTGCCACCACAGCCCCAGAGCACCCCCGGCAGTCCCACAAGAGCCAGGGGTTTCCCTCCCAGATGCTGCCCCACAGCAGAACTGACCCCTGTTAGTGATTGATTGGGTCATCTGAGCTGTGGTCTCTGCAGCAGGGAGAAATCATTGCCTCAGGGCAGCAGCAGCATCGATGGGTTCATGAGCTCCACAGCCCCTTCCCATTGGTCCTTGCTCAGCACCCACTCGGCAGCTCATGGACCAGCATGTGGCCAACAACCCAAACACCCGGGTTCTGATCCCCAACCCAGCCTGTTGGGTGGCCTGGCAGAGGTCAGCACTCTGTGCCTCAGTTTCCCTTTCTCCCGAACCCAAGGCACTGCTGGTGTTGAGGTGGGGATGGGAAGCAGAGAGGAGCTGCAGTACCTGAAGGACGGGCTTCGATGACGTATCTGGTGATGGGCCCTTGGCCAGGGTCCCCGCTGGACCAATGGATGGTGATAGCTGAGCCATAGCGGGAGATGAAGGGCTCACCAGGGGGGCCGGGAGCACCTGGGGACCCAGAGTAGAGCTGGAGCTCTGCAGTGATCTGGAGCAGCCTGGTGGCACATGGCTGTGCCAGTTCTGGTGGCACCAAAGGGACTGTCCCCACCACGTCTCCTTCCTCACCATGGCACACCATCCCCCCTACCTTCCCCAGGCCCCGTGGTGATGTTTGCCTCAACATCTGGTCCATAGGCAAAGGTTTTGGCCCGGACTCTGAACCGGTACGTCACGCCCTCAGCCAGGTCCTTCACCTTCAACCACAGTGGGCTGTTCCCCTTCACGTCCACCGTCACAATCTTACTGACACCTGTGGGGACAGAGGCTGAGCCAGGTCCTCCCCAGAGCCTCCCAGCTGCTCCCAACCTCCCCCCAGTGCCCCTGTTGTGCCCTCACCGTCCACAGGCATGCAGGGCTCGTAGACCAGCCTGTAGCCCTCCAGGATGCCATTGGGCAGGGGTGGTGGCTCCCAGGAGACGTTCACCGAGGTGGTGGTCAGCTCACTGAACCGGATGGAGCCGGGGGCACTGGGGGCTGCGAGGAGTGGGGTGGCTGGGGCCAGCTCAGCACTCCCAGGGGACATCCCCAGCACTGAACCAGCCCCTCTCCCTGCCTCCACCCTAATGAAACTGGGGCACTTGTCATCACCATCACTACCCTAGTGTCACCCCCCTGTGCCCCTAACCCCACGTGCTGCAAAGACCTGGCCAAGCCACCACTCATGCATGGCTGAGGCAACAAGTCTCCTACTCTTTGTCTCTCCTCCTGAGTCCTTCATTATTCCCAAGTCTCAGCCAAGACCTTCATCGCCACGTGCCCACAAACCCTCTGAGCTGAGCCCAGGGCTGGTCTCTGCTCAGGATTGCAGGAGCTGGGATACAGCCAGCTGAGATGAAGGGGCATCTGCTGGACATCACCGGAGCTGGACCCATAGAGACACCTCCACACGGAACCCAGGGGTGGGAGGGTCTAGATGCAACCATGGGGAATAAAGGGTGATTGGCAGCCACGCTCTGGGCCCCACCTGCCTGATGCGTCCGCCCCTGGACAGGGGGGCTGCGGGGACCATCTCCCGCGGCGTTGAAGGCGGCGACGGTGACCCAGTACGAGGTGTACCCGGTCAGGTTCTTCAGCTTCACCCCCGTCTCCGGCAGGAAAAGCGTCTTCACCCGCGCGCTCGCGTTCTGGCGCTGGGCTTCCCAGAAGTGGATCTGCGGGAGGAGGAGGAGGACGGGGCATGGAGACCTGGGTGCTGCAGGGATCCGGCCCATCTGCCCGCCTCGGCTGCATCCCGGCTGCATCCCGGCAGGATCCCGGCTGCATCCCAGGGCCGACAGCGCCACCTGCCGCCCCGAGGCCGCTCAGCACCGGGATGGGACTCTGGGAATCTCTCGGCATCTCCGCAGCATCTTTCTCTGCCACCCATCACCCCCTTGAGACACCCAGCATCTCCATGGCATCTCTCCAGGACACCTGGCATCTCCCTGGGACAGCCGCCATCTCCCCAGAATCCCTTCCCCAACTGCACACACATGGGGCACCCATCATCTTCCCAAATCCAGCAACACACAAAGCACCTCCCGGGGGAGCTCAGTACTCCCCAGTGACACCCAGCACCCTGTGCGTTCACACCACCCTCAGAGCCCACCACCTTCCCAGGGCACCCAGTGTCCCCAGGCTCCAGCTCAGTGCCAGCTCCCAGGTACCTTGTAGCCCTGGATGTCCCCGTTCTGGCTCTCGGCGGGTGGCGGTTCCCAGGTGACATCCAGCTGGGTGGCCGTGGCCGCCTGCACTGCCACGTTCTGTGGCGCGCCCGTGGGCACTGAGCCAGAGGAGGGGACAGTGTCACCGCCCAGCCGGGACCAGGGAGGGGCCAAGTAGATGTCCCTCCGGGGGTTGCGCTGCCTTGTCTTGGCCCCAGCGTGTGGTGCCAGGGCAGTCAAGCCCCCTCCCAGCCACGGGCAGCCCACCCGCCAGGCAGGGCCGGGCTGTGGACTCACCTGCTTCACCCACGAAGACCTCCTGGGGGGGGCTGGGGGGCCCCTCGCCCACGGCGTTGTACACGCTCATGCGGATCTCGTAGCGCCGGTGCTTGCTCAGGTCTGGGCGGGGAGAGAGGAAAAGGGGTGAGCAGGGTCCTCTCTGCAGGCGGAGGGGCAGGGGGTCCGGCTGCCCCCGGGGGACATGGCAGAGTTCCCCCTCGCTGCAAAGGAGATGAGTGTCCCCAGGGAGCAACAGGAGCAGCAGGCAGAGGCGTCCCCAGGCACCTCATGGTTCATCCCGGTTCACCCCACGGCACAGGCAGGCGGAGGGGAGGGACGCCCAGGGAGGTGGCAGCAGGGGCATGCAGGAGGGGCAGGGACTGATGACTTACTGTCCAGCTCGTACTGGGTGAGGGTGACCTCGCTGAGGTTGTGCACGGCGTACACGGCTGGGCGGCACACGCAGGGAGAGCAGGCAGCTGGTTAGAGCCCAGCACAGCACCGGGCGGCTCCCACCTCCCAGCGCCCATCCCAGCATAGCTGCCCACCCCAGGGTGGACTAAGGGTCCCCTGCTAGGGCCCTGCCACCCCCAGGTGACAACAGGGTTGTCACAGCACTAAGGAGCCTTTCAGCCCCATCCCCTGAGGGGCACAGGCTGTGTCTGGGGGTCAGGGTCTCCACAGGGGTCTGATGGTGGCTGAGAGCAGCGGATGGGGCAAAGTCACATCTTGGGCTCTGTCCTCGCCACTCTTGTCCCTGCTGCCCCAGAGTGGATGTGACCCTTTGGGGTCTGAGGATGGCAGCACACGTGGACACGCAGCAGGACACCACACAGACACCTGTGTTAGACGCAGACAGGGGGACACCCACACTACAGGGACAAGGGGCTGCACACAAAGGGACTGAGCCAGCAACATCACAGACAAGTGTGTTAGGGACCACAGACCAGGTAGCACCAGGGGACTAGAGACAGCTCCAGGCTGGTACCAGCGAGAGACCACGGAGCACAGGACGATGCCCTCCCTTGTCTTCTATCCATCACTGCTGGGTCACCCCAATGACGTCCAGCTGATTACCTGCCCTCCACCCCACATGTCCCCAGGCCTGGAGGGGCAACCAGCACTCACGGGTGAGCTCTGCCCACGTGGCACCAGGGTTGCTGATGCTGCGCAGGGAGAAGCCGCGCAGAGGGTCGGGCACCAGCTCCCGGTACCGGAGCCGGAAACCCAGCAGGATCCCGTTGATCTTGTCCTCGGCCGGGGGCTGTGGGGGAAGAGAGCGGGTGCTGTTCTGACCCGGGGCTCCCCAGCACCCCAAGATGGCTGTCCCCGTTATGCCTCGGTGTCACCTCCCAAGGGAGCTAGTTGCCCTTCAGGGCCAGTAGAGGAGGGGGCGGTACCTGCCAGCGGATGAGCACTGAGGTGGTGGTGTGCGGGGTGACGGAGAGGATGGTGGGGGCTTCCTCAGGGGCTGTGGGGGAAAAGTGGGCAGTGAGGCTCTGGAGATGCCCTGGGCACGGGGGGATGCCCTGGGCATGGGGGTGGGGGGATGCCCCTCTTCCTGCCCCAGGAAATGCAGCCTGTGCTGACCCGCCTGCAGGGTAGTGAGTGACTCGGACTCCTCGCTGTACTCGCTGTCCCCAATGTCATTTGTCGCCTTCACACGGAACTTGTAGGAGGTGAAAGGCTTCAGCCTACACGGGAGAGGAGCAGGATGGGGACAGTGAAGCCAGCAGGTGACCCCAAGAGCCACCCTTCCCCCCACATCCCAACCTTGGTGCAAGCACTTCTCTTGGGATGGGGAAACCGAGGCGTGAGGCAACCACCCCAGAAGCAGAACCCATCACCTCCCGGCCCGCCCACCCCGGCTCAGGGCCAGCCCCTGCCTCACCTGTCCACGACGAAAGCGGTGGCGTTGCGGCTGCGGGCGGGGGGGGGGCGGCCA